CGCCCTAGGGTTGAGACGGGGGGATTCCCCTATTTATAACAATGGTATGACGTCACTGCAACAATACAATGACGTCACGTCAACAATCCATCAACGTCACGTCAACCCTGAATTTAGCATGTAATGTTATCATTACATTGTGTATATGATACACATTGGGGAAAACAGGGCACATGTAAGAGAAAAAGAATCATTCACCCCCTTGTGGGTAAGATAGGGGAATCTCAACCCTCGGGGAAAGATTCTTAAGTTGCCAAACACTCGGCAAAGCCTCGTGTTTGGCAACATAAGAATCTTCCCCCTCGGGTTGAGATTCCCCTATCTCACTTCAAAGGGGGTAAATGAGTCTATTAGTCTCACCCTAGGGTTGAGACGGGGGGATTGAAAGAACAGGGTAAGAGAAAAAGAATAATTCACCCCCTTGTGGGTGAGATAGTGGACTCTCAACCCTCGGGGAAAGATTCTTTAGTTGCCTCGTGTTTGGCAACATAAGAATCTTCCCCCTCGGGTTGAGATCCCCCTTAGTCCGAGGGTTGAGATTTCTCTATCTTACACAACCAGTAGCGATTGATTATTTTTCTCCCATATCTAACAGTATTTTAATGTGAAATAAAGGTAAACATGGACCCAAAACACATACAGGCAATTTGTTGATGGATTGTTGACGTGACGTCATTGTATTGTTGAAGTGACGTCATGCCATTGTTATGAATAGGGGAATCCCCCCGTCTCAACCCTAGGGCGGAGAAAGATAAATCTAGCACCGGCAAAACGGGAGATGAATCTGTCAGGTGTGGGAGAGTAAAAGAATAATTCACCCCCTTGTGGGTGAGATAGTGGAATCTCAACCCTCGGGAAAAGATTCTTTAGTTGCCATACACTCGGCAAAGCCTCGTGTTTGGCAACTTAAGAATCCTCCCCCTCGGGTTGAGATTCTCCTATCTCACCCCCAAGGGGGTGAAAGATTCTAATTAGTCAACCCTTAGGGTATGACAGAGAAACAATACTATGACATCACATGACGTCATAATCAGCATTTTACGGAAGGGGTCATGCGTAAATCAGGAAAAACAAACAGACTACAAATACTGAAAACTATTGCTGTAAAACGTAATGATGGAATGATGGGAGTAAAATAATCATCCCCATCTTTATGGTGTGACAGAGAATTGTCCATTCCTCGGGATGAGTATTAGGCAGACCCTCGGGTTAGACAAACAAATAAATCACCACTCGGGTTTGAGATTTCTCTGTCATTCCCTCGTGGAAGGGAGAAAACGATAAGTCTTTAGGGAAAGACAGGTCACAAAGCTTAACTTAAAAAATATTACGCTCGGGTTGAGATCAGACAGGGTTTATATATTTTATTATTCTTATATTATGACCTGGACAGTAGATATAGACCAAAGATGGCGGAATGTTTTTAACCTCTGAGAACGACATGGAAAATTATAGTGTTTGCAATATTCTCTTTATACTTGTTTTAGGGGAAAACTTCGTTTCCTTTTCATACAATACAATGTTCATGTTTATATTACGAGTGGGAAGCCTTTTGATTTCGAGGATGCCGTTTCATATGAAACTTTCAAATATTTCACGCCTTTTCTCAACTATATTTCACCTGAAAGACAAAATCAGAACTCATGAATAGCAATGCAACACAAACGATCCGAGTTTCTTATCCTCACCATCCGTCGTCGAGTGAAAACTCTTACTATATATGAAGTAAAGTGTCGACTATACAAAACTGCCAACATATCAATACAATTGGACTTAGAGTTTATACGAAAAGTACAATACAATACAATTTATGACACTTAATGAAAGAAAATTACAGACACCGGATGTGACGTCCGAAAGTTAGTTTCGTATCTGGCTGTCTGACTGGTTTATGATATATACATATATCTCAATAGACACCGGATGTGACGTTAGACAGTTACATAATGTAGTTTCGTATCTGGCTGTCTGATCGGTTTATGATATATACATGTATCTCAATATCGTTTGTATTTTCCAGTTCCTGATGTGGTCTTTTCTCTTGACGTGTTGACGTTGTGTATAAAATTTCCTCCCGACACATTATTTTTATAATTTTGATAATAAATTGTGTTAGTTGACATAAATTTAGCAATTATTCTTAAGTTTGAGTTTATATGCCACGAAGACACGGCCAACTGCATTATCAGACTTACTTAAGTGATATCAATTGCATGGTTATGTATAATAGAGGATGATATAATGCATTAGTGTTACAAGCACCTTTACAACCCATATTATCATGCGTAACACAGTGTTTGGTATTGTTATCATAATATAATGATTGATTCATCTATCGTGATGGTTCATGATATAGTAGATGTAGCTGTTATCGAAATAATAAGAATAAACTTTATTTGTTAAACAGCAATCGTGAAATCAATTTCTCTGATGTATTAATCAGTTTTGTTTGCCCGGATGGAAGTGAACAGATATATCCTAATGTAATGTGGGAGGAGGCTGGAGTACACAGATAAAACCCACGTGATCGGGTAGGTTACCGAATACCTTTTCATCTCCGACGAGGGAGTCAATCCCAGACAGTCTTTGTAAATGGCGAGTGTGTTCCACACTGCGCCACCCGACCAGTCGAAATGTAAGCCTACCATAGTTAATAATACCATCAAAGCAATGTGACTGAGACCGTTATATAAATGTTATCATGCTATATTTATCAATTATGGACGTTTGTTGAGGTGCATACATTATTGTATGTGGTTATATAAACCTTCGTCTCGGTGAATATCGCTTATTTAGGTTCATGTAACCAAATATTTACCAAAATAAAAGTCCTGTGGGGTAAAAGTATGTGGTTATTTGGACCTGATCAAAGAGATATTGACCGAGGCGAAGTTGAGGTTTACTGATAGTCGTTTCACTTAGATTAAAACAGTAGGAAATTCGTGCTCATATTCAAACTATAATTCTATAGGTAATACTCAAACATATTATTGTTGAAAATGTTTCAACGATATCATTTGAAATAAATAAATGAAATACTAATATGATATTTGTATCGACTTATTCTGTGTCAAATATTAATTCAATAAAACACGTGTCAACATTGCTATAAAATAAACATAGCAACAATACATGTAGATACAATCGGTCTTTGTCAAACTTTTCAAAAGTAACCCATGTAGTTATACAACAACAAGGAAGCATACTCACTGTTTACGGTTGTACATATTCCCAATTGATGTGTAAACATGTGTAAAACAGTTCTTGTCACTCTAAACCACATATATTTACGACAAAATCAAGGAACCAAATCAGACAAAATACCGTCCTTGACCTTCGGATGTTAACCAATATGTCACCGTCATAAGCCGCATTGCATAGTCCTTTACACTTGTGTTTTGCCGAGTACTTACTGGATAGAAAAAAAAACGTGGAAAAAGCACAACTATACAAAAACGTTCTTATTGCATTCCTTTTTCAACTATAATATTTATCAGGGTTTTGTTTCGCAAAGTTTGTGTACACTGTAAGTGACGTTTTGATCGTCAAATTATTTATATTCATTTACAATCTTTATGCCTTTAATCTGTTGTTAACAGGGGGCTCCCGTAGAGGTAGAACCGCCTACGAATATTAAGAACCTAATGACTTGTAAGCTTGCAAAGTCTTAAGAAATAACTTATGCTTAATATCAAAGTAATATTGAAATAATGGAACGGTGACAACAGACCAAGAAAAAAAAGACACCAACAGAAATATTTGCATAAATACAAAATATAACGCTAATCAATCATTACAATTTGTATCAGATTAAATTTACGCCTTTTGCTTTACATATTGTTACTATTTATACTTGAGATTTTGATAACGTCGGATAACACTACTTTATTAGGTTAATCCCCCGTTTTGACTGCGAGAAGTTCGCTTAATCTACAATGATTTACTACAGTGTTGGAGTTAATTTGATATAAAAGCCGTCTATAGATTACTGGTTTACAGGATCAGCCGTGTCGCAGTGCCATGACTTTTCATTCGATTTAATCCTTCTCCCTTCTCGGTGGTGAAGCGCCGTTATATTTCTAATCTATTTATAGACATGGATTTGAGTAAATAATATACTCTACGCAGAGCCGTTGACATCTTTCCTAATTTTTATAGATCCGATATCTTTTTAATCATCGTGATTTTCTCCCTCTAATAGATTTGTGTATAAACTTAACTATACACCAAACCGCTAACATCTCCTTTCTTCTTATTTTTCAGAGATACTGTTATAGTACCAATG